ATATTTGACATCAATATGTTTAGTACGATCATGAAACATAGGATTCTTGCTAAGATGTATTGCACTTTGATTATCAGAAAATAAAACAGCATTGTTATCAATAAATCCTAGTTCAGATAATAAACCATTTAACCACAAACCCTCTTTTATAGCATCAGTAGCAGCTATGTATTCAGCTTCAATAGATGACAGAGCAACTACCTTCTGAAGTTGAGACTTCCAGCTAATAACAGTACCACATAGAGTGTAAAAATAAGATGAGGTTGACCTCCTATTGTCCCTATCACCAGCAAAATCTGAATCTGTATATCCTCTTAAAACTACACCATTTTTATCTGATTTAAACACAAGACCCAAATTAACAGTTCCTTTTAGATATCTCAGTAGCCATTTTAGGGCATTCCAATACTCTTCACCAGGGTTACCCATAAATCTACTTAAGACACTTATACTAAAAGCCAAGTTAGGTCTAGTGCAAATCATTAAGTACATAACAGATCCAATCACATTTGAATAAGGCACTTTAGACATTCTTGCATATTTACTTTTAGATTTAGGACAGCATTCAGAAGACAATTGAAAATGGTTAGCAAGAGGTAAAGTGGTAGGTTTACAATCAAACATATTGAATTTTTTCAAAGTTTTAATCACATAGTCATACTGGTTCAAGAATAACAAATTTTTATCCTTATCTCTCCAAACCTGCATTCCCAAAATTCTTTTAGCAGAACCAAGATCTTTCATGTCAAACTCAGATTTCAATTTTGATTTAATGTTTTCAGTTTTAGATTTGTCACAACTTGCAAGTAACATATCATTAACATAAAGGACCAAGTATAAGGAATCTTTACCTCCATTACCTTTGCAGTATAGGCATCTGTCATATAGACTTCTCTTGAAACCAAGTTTCAAAATAAAAGTGTCAAAACGCTTATACCACTGTCTAGGAGCTTGTTTTAACCCATACAGTGATCTTTTCAGTAGACACACAGTATTTTCAGGATTTCCCTTTTCAAAACCAACAGGTTGCTTCACATAGATAATTCCATCTAATTCACCATACAGAAAAGCAGTTTTGACATCTAACTGATCAAGCTCCCATTTAAATTGAGCAACAAAAGCAAGCAAGCATCTGATAGTAGTATACTTAGCTACAGGAGAAAAAATTTCAGTGTAATCAACACCCTCCCTTTGTGTAAAGCCTTTTGCAACCAACCTAGCTTAGTATCTAACATTTTTACTATCACCTTCCCCTTGCTTTACTTTATAGATCCACTTACAATCTATCAATTTATAATCTTTTGGTCTGTCAACAAGAACCCAAGTATCATTTTTAAGAAGTGAAGACATCTCATCTTCCATAGCCTCTATCCATTTCTCTTTCTCTTTACACTTAATGGCATCTTCATAAGAGTTTGGCTCATTTTCTAATTGCTCTTGGTAAGAAACAAAATCATCATTGTCATACCTAGTAGATGGTATAATCTGTCTCCTCTCCCTATCTCTAGTAAGTTGATATTCATCAAGGGTTACAAGATCAGGCAAGTCAGATTGATCAAACTCAGTGTCCTGAATAGGATTTTCATTTTCAGCACTGGTTTCATCTACTACAGGTGCATGAGTGTCTTGCTCAGAGTGAGAAGACTCCACCTCAAAAGGAGTATCATTATCAGTCAAAACATTTTCTTTTTCCCTCTAAACATGGCATAATAGTTTCATTGAAAACTATATCCTTTCTGATTATAACTCTATACCCTTTTTGAGAGTGAACCCAAAGCCTATATCCTTTAACATTTTCATCATATCCTAAGAAAATACATTTGAGTGCTCTAGGTTCAAGTTTACCAATACTTTGATGAGCATAAGCAGCACAGCCAAATATTTTCAGATAAGAATAATTCACAGGATTTTTAGACCAAACAGATTCAGGTATATCATAATTCAAAACTTTAGTAGGACATCTATTAACAAGAAATGCAGCAGTTTTGATAGCCTCACCCCAAAACAGTTTAGGCATACCAGAACTAAGTAACATGCATCTAACTTTATTTAAAAGAGTCCTATTCATTCTCTCAACAATACCATTTTGTTGAGGGGTATAAACAACAGTTTTATGCCTCAGAATACCATGTTCTTTATAGAAGTCATTGCATTCATTATTGCAGAATTCCAAACCATTGTATGTCCTTAAGGTTTTTATTTTGAGATCAGTTTGATTTTCAACTTGAATTTTTCAATCCTTAAAGGCAAAGAATGTTTCATCTTTACTTTTTAATAAGAGAACCCAAATTTTTCTTGAGAAATCATCAACAATCAGCAAAAAATATCTATAACCAGACAATGTGCAGATGGGTGCAGGTCCCCATAAATCAGCATGCAGGTATTCTAAAATTTGTTTTGATTTATGAGTTCCTGTAGGGAAAGGTAATTTGACTTGTTTACCTATAACACATTGTACACAGGATCCAAAATCACTAAGATTCAGTTTTCCAAAAAATCCTTTTGATTGCAAATAGTTCAGACTTTTCTTATCAATATGACCAAGTCTATCATGCTACAATTTTGCAAGTGTAAAGTTTTCAGATATAGCAGCAGCAGTCAATCCAAGTAAATGTTTTGCACTTAAAAAATAGAGGCCATGTCTCTTAGGGGAACTAATGATTAAATCATTGCCCCCAAGAATTTTAATATGTCCTTGACCCATATTTATGTTAAACTCCAAGTCATCTAACATGCCTAAGGACAAAAGGTTTCTCTTCAAGTCGGGGACATACCTAGTTCCTTTTAGAAATAGTACATTGCCATTTTCTAGCAGTAGTTTTATAGTACCTATTCCTTTTACTTTACAGGTAATATCATTTCCCATAATGACCAGCCCTCATGTGGTCTTGGTAAAATCCAGAAAACAGTTTTTGTTGGGGCACGTGTGAAAGGAACAACCTGAGTCTAAGATCCATTCATCACTCAGTTTCTTTCCACATTAACAAGGACTAAACCATTTTCAGTATTAACATTAGCTTTATGATACACTAGAGCATTATTCCCATCCTCTGGTTTCTTATCTTTCAAATCATTTTTCGTTTTGAAACAATCTTTTGCAAAATGTCCCAACTTCCCACAGTAGTAACACTTTTTACCCTTAGCATTGGTCTCAGACTTATGCTTATCATTAAATCTGCTTTTATTTTCAGTAAAAGGTTTAGGATGGTAGTCAGATTTTCCAAAACTCTTTCCTTTTACCCACAAGCCATCCCCAATGTGACTGTTTCTAGATTCAGATTTTATCTCTAGAGCCTTATTCCTTAAAGCATCTATTATAATGTCAGTAGTGAGGTCTTCCCTACCATACTCTAGAGTAACCTTAATATCCTTATATCTGTCACTGATGGAGTTTAATAAAACTATAGCCATCTAATCTTTTGAAAGTTTTTCGTCATAGTTGGCCAAGTCTTGGGTAAGTTTTGTAAATCTATTTAAATTTTCATCCAAATCAATTGAGGGATCCATTTTGAAAGAGAAGAATTGTTTTAGTATAAAACATTTATTTGGGGTGGTCTTAGTCACATATTTAGCATACAGTTTAGTCCATAATTCAGAGGCAGTCTTAGTCTCACCAATAGTTCTTATCACATTTTCAGACAAGTATAAGAAGATAGTACTCCAAGCATTTCATGAAGTTCAGTTCTTTTAGCAAAAGGTAATTCTGCAGGCCAACTTTCAGTTACAACCTTAGCACATTTCATTTGCATCAAGATAGCCTTCATTTTTTGACTCCACATATTGAAATCAATCTTACCATCAAATTGACTTACTTCAAATTTAGCAAAGGCCATGTTTAAAACAAACAAGGATCACTTAGATAAGGAAAATAGTTTTCACAGATTCACAGAGAAGTGATAATGAAGGCACTAATATGTTATTTAATCTCACAGTTTATCACGAAGTGGTAATCAAGATTATGAGAAATTATAATGCACATCACATGATCACAGGAGATCAATAATCCAATGAAAATTATCAAAGTTCAAACAACAATGTTCCACAATTTATCCTACAAGATCCTCTAGGTACACACCCGTTCTTGATTTAGCTCAGATTCCCAAGGCCTCAAGGAGCCTTTGGACAAAGATTATTCTCAAGGGGGTTTATAGCGTACGGTAGATCAAAGGAAAAATAAGGAACCCTAATTTCTGAAAGGGTATATCTGCAGAAATTAAAAAGATCTCACCGAGCGAGTTTAAAACTCGAAAATTTTCCAATTCTGCTTTGAAGCAGTTCCAAAAATTTCAGATCTGGAACAGATCCTTCACCTTCCTTCAAGATCTAGGTATCAAGTTCCTCAGTCAAGGCTCTGATACCACTGTAAGGCCAGGACACACACAATACTAAACCAAAACCATGAAATACTGAGTACAGAAATTAAAGAATCAACACAAGAATTGTTTCGGCCTAAGCCCTAGAGGTTCGGTGACCAAATCAAAATCCTACATCCCCCGTTAAGCATCCAACAAATATGGATAATGCTCAGTTGCACTATACATTCCCAAATTGGCAACGAACGTTACAGATCTTTCAAATAGTACAAAAGATAGAGAAAGAACACTTATCTCACAAATACATGAACAGATCTAAGACGAATCACCAAGAAACTCCTCAGACTTTCTTTTAATACACAACTCACAACAGAACCTTAGTTCTCACAGATATTCACACAGAATATCACCATCAGAGATTAAAACTCTCACACTTTACGGGTTAAAATCAAAGATTTTACAGAGAAGAAAAACCAGACGAAGAACCCTAAGTTTTCTCTTAAAAGTCTCCCATTGAAGAGTCTCTCGAATCATCCAAAGAAAACGATGAGGGTAAGTTAAGAGTCATCCAGAAGTTTCAGCCAACCGCCTAGATCTGTCCACGTGTCACCATCTCAACAATTTGAATGTTATAAAACGTTACAACAGAAACACGCTTTTGTTAATTCTTTCCTTTTCTTTTCNCAAATGCAATTGAAATGTCTTCAAAGATTGAAATCCATAGCTTTTGAAAACGAAACGAATAAAATATGCATGGAGAAAGCAGGAACGGCAGAATTCTTAGCTTCCTTGATAATTGTTAAGAAAATCATGGTAGAATCTTCAATTGAAGAATCAGAAGATTTATCTGAATTGGCAAGAATCAGAGATGAAGCTTTAAGCATTCTTGTTCATTTCTAATTATCCGAATCTAGCCTTAAGTCCCTCTTCAGGAACAATGGTGATCAATTCATCGAGTCCTTAACGCATATAATTCAGCGTGGGAGCTATGAATCTCGAGCTTATGCTGTTATGCTACTGAAATCCATGTTTGAAGTAGCTGATGATCCAACAGAGCTAACCATCTTAAAACCCGAATTCTTCATCGAATTAGTCCAAATCTGGAAGGATAAGATTTCTCAAAAAGCCTCAAATTCCTCTCTAAAAATTCTTACCATTGTCGTCCATGGGGAAGAAACAAGATCAAAGCGGTGGAAGCAGGAGCAGTTTCTTCGTTAATTGACCTTTCACTCGACACTTCAAACAAAAGGGCTTGTGAAATGATGCTAATGGTGTTGGATTTTCTATGCCAACGCGCAGAAGGAAGAGCAAATTATTAAAGCACAGTGCAGGATTGGCTATTGTGTCAAAGAAAATGCTTAGGGTTTCACAAGTTGCAAGTGAAATGGGAGTTAGAATTTTACATTCTATTTCGAAATTCTCTGCAACTCATCGAGTTCTTCAAGAAATGTTGTAGATTGGTGCAGTGACAAAGTTGTCTCTTGTGCTTCAAGTTAATTGTGGAGCTAAAACAATGAAGACAGCTGGAACTATACTTAAACTGCATGCAAGATCATGGAAGAGCTCACCATGTGTGCCCATGGAGTTGTTTGATTCTTATCCATCTAGATTTAGTGATGGAATTAGGGGATAGATAGAAACTAGTTGTGTACATAACTGGATTTAGTTAAGAATACATATACAGTAGAAAGTAACACATGGCTGAGAAACTTGACCATAGATAGAAACTTTTTGGAAATAATTCTTCCATCTTTAAGTTTTTGGGTATTGAAAAAATTGGTAGAGGAAAGTGATTTTAATCCATTTTGAGATTCACTTCTTGCAGTTAAGGATTTTGTTTCTGTATTCAGTGCTTTGCAATATACCATTTACTGTGTAGATGTTGTTGTCATCAAGTAATCAGTAATGAAAACGCTACTCTGTGTAGGGACGCCATCGAACTACATTATTTTGTTTGTTATTGTTCTTGAAAGTCAAAAACGTGTTTCGAAAAATGAGAAACTCTTTAATTGTTTTAAAAAAAACGTGGCAACTTCCTATTGGTTGAGGACCGAATTGTGCTTTCTCTTCATTGTTGTATGGTTGTGATCATTTCTTACCTCTATTACGTGTTTAGAGAGTGTCCCTTGGTATTTATTTTGATTCTTTGCTTTTGGCTTTAGTCTCTCATGCTCTCTCTCTCTCTCTTTCTGAAAATCTTCCATCCGTGTAAATAAGCTTTTGATCTTGTAGGATCTGTAGATAACCTTGTTCTCACCCGAACCTTCGAGTCGCCCAAAATCTTAACATATGAGATATTATGGTCATCCAGAATAACAGTTACTGAAACGGTTATTGAGCAGATTATCACATTCCACTATTTAAGGAGCCCATTTGAAGGCGGTTGAACGACAAAGAGTAATGGCAGCAGTGAGAGATGGCAGTTCCACGACAAGTTAGCCACCACGAAAAAAGTGGATAGTTAGAAAGCATTCAATCAGTTTCCAAGCAGTTTGTCATGAAGAAATTATCATGGGAATATAAAAGGAAGAAATACATAGAGGAAAGGACCCCGAATCAAACACTCTCAAATAGAGAATATGTAATTTCAATTTCTTAAATTAACTTTAATTATCCATTTTTCAGTACTCGTGTGCTTGTGGCTATTGGAGGCATTCTGTTTATTTCTAATTGTATGTCTCATCAATAAAGCACCCCTTTTTAGGATTTTGTCTCAAGAGATTTGTCCATTACAGAATCGTCCAAATCTCTTTTTAATTGTTAGCGACAACCTGTGCGAAATAGTTCATTTGTAAACATAATCCCTGAAAGGCAGTTGTGAAAGTCATTCAAACAGACTTACCCCTGAGCCCCCGATTAGACCTTAGTGCTAAACTGGGTCAACAATCCTAGTATTATCGTTATTTACATTTTCTGCAGTTTATTTTACCAGTCTATGATTGCTGTGTTTATGCTAAATTGGAAATGTGACCTTCCTCAGAATGACCATATAGTCAGTTTACTAATATCAGGCTACCATCCATCCTCTTGAATGATCAGACTTCTATATGTAGCAAACTTTTGATGGAGAGGGTGTGTATGAGAAGGTGAGAAATGAATATGTCGCGGAAATTCTATATTAATTAAATTAACTGAAAAAAATTTTAGACGAGATAATTGATCGCATATATGAGCCATCAATGCAAACATAAGATATAAGTGTAACGATTTTTTAATCGAACATGTGGGCTTATATGTAAAATATTGTATATTAAGTTAAAGGTTATCAATTTCGGTTAAACCCGTTTAAAGTGATCTAATAAGGTTTCGGTATTTTGGGTTTTAAAATATCTAATTAAAGTATGGGCTTATATGTGTAGAGACCGGGTCTATTCCCAATTCCATGATGGGCCGAATTAGGTCAATGGGCAATTAGTTTCAGACTCCCATCTTCAGAGTGAAATAAAGGAACAACGTATTGATTTGGAAGACTAAAACCGCAGGACTTATTGATTGCGACAATCATGTCTGATCCAGGTACGCTTCCACTTTTGGTTAATAAGTTCTTGATGATCCGACATGAACGATCTTATGACGGTAA